TATACCTCTTAAGGGAACATGCATATGACCTATTGATTAAGGGTCAAATAGTGAGGTGAGCTGCTACTGGTGGAGGAGTGTGTGACACATAGTGTGTTGATTTCACAGCAGAAATAGAGATACCTTGGATAATTATCAAGAGACACTTTCTTTTTTTCTTAGTTATTTATTTTTCACCTTTTCTTCAATTTTGGACTTTATACTTAAATGTTATAATATATTGTTGATTTTAGTGCAGTGCCAAGTATGCCTTTCTAACCCTTACAATGAATGTATCTTGTTTGCTTTAATTTGGATCATTATATATCATTAAACAGTTTTGCTATATTTGTTTGGTAAGGATTTTAGGGATTGGTTTTATGTCCACTTTTAAGTATGTACAGTATATAGAAAATTATTAAACATTGAGGGCAGAGGGGTATTCAAGGAAAGGGAGAGAAAGTGCCTTTGTGGGTTTAATTTTTCCGGGGGTTGAACTTTAATTAAAATTTTAAAATTTTCTCCTAGTCTCACAACAACCAAAGCCTCCAGTGGCTGCACTTCTATTACCGATACTTCAAGTTAGAGCCAGAGAGATTTCTGCCCCTGTGTACTAGCATCCAGACTTCCCAGGACAGATGGTCTGTGTCCCATCTTTAGTTCAGAGGTCTTACACCATGGGGTTTATTTACTAAAGCTGGAGAGTGCAAAATCAGACTCACTTCTGCATAGAAAACCAATCAGCTTCCAGGTTTCATTGCCAAAGCTTCATTGAACAAGCTGAGGTTAGAAGCTGATTGGTTTCTATGCAGAAGGGAGTCTGATTTTGGACTCTCCAGCTTTAGTAAATAAACCCCCATGAGTCTAACTTAATGGTCCTCCAACTTTATCTGCAGCAAAGGTATTGTACCCTGACCCTACTTTCAGTGTCCTTTCAGAGCTGATGGTCTACCTTGAGGCAATCTTCTTTGAGTTGTCAGTCTCTCTTGACATAATCCTGTATGGGTTGACTGTGTCTCCTAAGAAAATTTTGTTTGAGTTGCCAGTCTCTTCCAAAGTGATGCTATCTGAGTTACATTTTTATAAAAGCCTCTGTCTCCTCTGAGACAGAGCTGACCAAACCAAACTGTCTGTATCATTTAAAATTACTTTATCCAAAATATTTTCTCTTCACTGCCCGTTCTGCTACTAGTCTGTCCTGAGATTACATTGTTGCATGCCACTTTTGAGCTCTAGATGTCTTTGTCTTCTCCTGTGGCTTTGAAGTCTGGTGATTCGGAGCCTCGGAGATAAGCGGTTCAAGCTGTGGTGACATTCCTGTTTTCAGTGATGAGGAATTGAAAAGTTTAATTTAGGCTTCTGGGAACCATTGTGGGCTCTTTTGCATTGCATGATTGGAATTGACAATACGTAGTTGATTTACTAAAACTGGAGAGTGCAAAATCTGGTGCAGCTGTGCATGGTAGTCAATCAACTTCTAACTCCAGCAGGTTCAATTAAGCCTTAACAAAAAAAAAAAATGGAACTGATTGGCTTCTATGTAGAGCTGCACCAGATTTTGCACTCTCCAGTTTTAGTAAATCAACCCCTATGACTCCCAAGTTTGTGGCACACCTGGTTAGAGGCCCTACTGTGTTGCTACGTTTCTTGGATTCCTAAATGTTGAAAAGAATGCAGTGCAAAACACTTCAGTCATGTGATATACCCTACTCTAACGCTGGAGTAAGCTATGCAGCTGCCATTGTAATGGATTTTGGCAGTGAGCATTCCCATGTTATAAATAAACATTGGCAGGAGGGTTACTGAGGTAGCACAGACACAAGTGTTTAGCATCTAGTCTGTACCCTCACCCTGGCTATGGGGCATCCTGTCGGTTGCCAGATCCAGGTAGAGGGAGACTCTGCCTCTTCTCAGTCCTGGATGGTAAGACACTCATTTGATAACTAGAAACTGAGGCTGGAATGTCTTGTGATGCCATTTGCCTAAGAGAGGAACCTCCTATGAAGCCCACCATAAATTCCTTGGCATGGGCACATTAATAATGCACTGTACTTCTACAATGAACAGTTTCCAGCTGTCTGTTATTTTGTTACCTTTGGATGTCATAAAGGACTATCTGTGGTTCATATTGTTTTTTCAGGGACTAATTATTAGTGTAAAACAATATGAACTAGCAGAAGCAGGACCTAAAAACATCTGGTGACAGGATAGATTCACAGCCATGGACTGCTTGTTGTATTAAACCCCCATTGCGGAATTCTGTTATATGACTGAACTGGTGAACTGAAGAAAAAAGTACAAAATCGGTGACCTGTATCCTGTAGTCTTCTTGGCTTTTTGCTCAGTTGTTAACCTTTGTCTTATTAATGCGGTATAGGCAATGTATAAACTGCGTTTGTATACTTGTTTTGCTTGTCAAAACATCACCGAGTGTGCAGTTAGTTAGAGGTATTGGCAAATTAATGAATACTTTCCTCTATTTTCTAGGCAGCTGTAGCAGATGCCACATCTCTAAAATTACCTGCAGAGCTGAGAAGAGACGAGAAGAAAAGAACATTTCAGAGTTGAAAGAAGGGCATGCCCCGCTAGAATAAGTCTCTTTGAACTGCGTGATACAAATAAATCAATACTTTTATTTCAGTTTAAGTGGGCCTCAGGGAAATAATTATGAAAAAAATCAGATACAAGCCTATTGTGTACATTCAGAAATTTCATGGCAGGGTGTCTTGTTCATCATGCACACGATTTGTACACAATAAAGAAGAAAATATCTAAAATACCCCCATCATTTGAATAAAGACTGGTCTTTTAAATCAAACATTGGTAGCAGATTTGGCAGTCTGCTATTCTGTACTCTACATTCAAACTCTATTCCATTCTTCTATATTCAAAGCTATTGCAGTACTAAAGAGATGGTCCTAGTTGGCCAGGTGTGGGACACAAGCTCAGAATGACCAGCAGAGTATTCTGGATCCCAATGGGACCTGTTTTTTTCACATCATCGTAATCTGAAAACAGTGGAAACATTACAATGATACAAAACGCAGTGGTGAAGAAGATTCATTTTAATAAATACATAAATGTATTAATTTTATTTTTGTAAATCTGCTTGGTATTTAGCTTCATTCTTTTACAGCCCAGCCATAACTTATACAGCGGCAGGACAGGGAGAGGATGCACTGTACAAGAAACAACAGTCGTAATCGTGCTTTAAAATCTATTTATGGGCTCTTCTGTAATATGTAGAAATGATTTGAGCAGCTGTAAATCACCTGATTACTTGAACATACTCATAATGGTGCTGACCTCCCCGCTCCTTCGACCTGCATTGTTTAGTGGTTTCTCCTTCCAATCTACACTTAACTACAAGTTACAGTACAGAAGGAACTGCTAAGCACTGCAGGAGACACTGAAGACTGACACTCGCGGAAGTGTTCTTGATTAGTAGCATAAGCAGCAGGAGACGTAAGTATTCCTTTGCTTCTTAATATGTACAGAGTTTTTTTTTTTCATTTTTGGAAATTGCATAGTCACTTTAATACTGAAATGGTACAACTTCATTCAGCATATTTAAGAGGTGCAGCATCACAGTCTGCCCTATTGATATTGATGAGAGAGAACAACAGCAGTGGAGAAAACTTCGATTAAGGTGACCCTGGAGACTTTTAAGCAGCAATAAAAGCATGGATCTGTTATCAAGATGAACCAAGAAATAACTATGCCTTAAAACAGTGTTCTCCAAACTGGGGGCCAGATGCGACCATTTACAGTTGCAAGAAAAAGTATGTGAACCCCTTGGGAATACGTGGAGTTTTGCATGAATTGGGCATAAAATGTGCTCTGAATGTCATCTAAGTCACAACAATAGAAGAACACAGTCTGCTGAACATAATACTACACAAACATTAGATCTTGCCATGGTTTAATTGCACATAACATGTAAACATTCACAGTGCAGGGAGGAAAAAGTATGTGAGGCCCTAGCTTAATGACTTCTCCCAGAGCTAATTGGAGTCAGGAGTGAGCCAACCTTGACTCCAATCAGTGTGATGATATTGGATGTGTTGCTGACAGCTGTCCTGCCCTTAAAAAACACACACCTGTTTTGGGTTTACTGGTTTTAAGAAGCACTGTCTGATGTGAACCATGCCTCACAGAAAAGAGCTCTCAGAAGACCTACGATCAAGAATTGTTGACTTGCATGAAGCTGGAAAGGGTTACAAAAGTATCTCCAAAAGCCTTGATGTTCATGTGTCCACGGTAAGACAGACTGTCTACAAATGGAGAAAGTTTAGCACTGTTGCTACTCTCCCTAGGCGTGGTCGTCCTGTAAAAATGACTGCAAGAGCACAGCGCAGAATGCTGCATGAGGTAAAGAAGAATCCCAGAGTGTCAGCTAAAGACCTACAGAAATCTCTGGCACATGCTAACATTTTTGTTGACACATCTACAATAAGGAAAGCATTAAACAAGAATGGAGTACATGGGAGGACACCACGGAGGAAGCCATTGCTGTCCAAAAAGAATATTGCAGTGCGTTTGAAGTTTGCAAAAGAGCACCTGGATGTTCCACAGCACTACTGGCAAAATATACTGTGGACAGATGAAACCAAGATAGAGTTGTTTGGGAAGAACACACAACACTATGTGTGGAGAAAAAAAGGCACAGCCCACCAACATCAAAACCTCATCCCCATCCCTTGACATAACTTTCCGGTTTACATGCAAAAAAATGTGCATTTATTATTTTTTGTTAAAAGGTGAACTTTCACATAATGTACTGGTATGCGATGCATACAAGCACATTATGACATTGCCTTGCAGGGGAAATTTTTTTTTTTTAACCACCTCCTGTCCACCATATAGTCCAATGACGGGCGCAAGGTGGTTCTCTCATTCTGATAGGACGTCATATGACATCCTTCCATTCTCACCGCGCATGCGTGGCTCAGGGAGTGCGCAGCGCGGTGATCGGCGGTGCGCTGTGTCCCTCGGACACAGCGGATCACCGATCCACGGAAAGAGCCGAAGATGTCAGCTCGGTCATGTGATCAGCTGTGTCCAATCACAGCTGATCACATGTAAACAGGGAAATGCCAGTTATCGGCATTGCTCTCCTCTCGAGCTGTCATGCTGACAGCTCGAGAGGAGAGGAGAGCCGGTAATCGGCATTCCGCGGAGGGGACAGGTACACTGATCATCAGGGCACTGATGATCAGTGTGCCCTGATGATCAGTGTGGCCCCAGAAGTGCCACCTGTCAGTGTCCATCAGTGCCAGCTGTCAGTGCTGAACAGTGCCAGCTGCCAGTGCTCATCAGTGCCACATCAATGCCACATATCAGTGCCTACCAGTGCACATCAGTGCCCATCTGAGCTGCCTTTCAGTGTCACCCATCAGTGCCAGTCAGTGCCACCTATCATTGCCAATCAGTACCACCTATCAGTGCTGCCAATCAGTGCCACCTATCAGTGGCAGTCAGTGCCGCCTATCAGTGCGCATCAGTGCTACCTATCAGTGCGCATCAGTGCCGCCTATCAGTGCCAGTCAGTGCCGCCTATCAGTGCCAATTAGTGCCATCTAACAGTGCCAGTCAGTGCCACCTAACAGTGCCAGTCAGTGCCGCCTATCAGTGCCATATATCAGTGCTGCCTTTCAGTGCCCATCAGTGATGCCTGTCACTGCCCATCAGTGCCACCTACCAGTGCCTCCTCATCAGTGCCCATCAGTGCCACCTATCAGTGTCCATCAGTGCATCTTATCAGTGGCCATCACTACAGCCTCATTAGCGCACATCAGTGAAGGAGAAAAAAAATCACTTATTTACAAAATTTTATAACAAAAACTAAGAAAAAACTTTTTTTTCCCCAACATTTTCAGTGGTTTTTGGTTTGTTTAAGAAAAAATAAAAAAAACCCAGAGGTGTTTAAATACCACCAAAATAAAGCTCTATCTGTCACAAAAAAATGATAAAAATTTCATATGGGTACAGTGTTACATGACCGCGCAATTGTCATTCAAAGTGTGACAGCGCTGAAAGCTGGAAATTGGCCTGGGCAGGAAGGGGGTATAAGTACCCTGTATGCTAGTGGTTAAAGATCATGTTTACTACCGCTTTAAGCACTTTAAGAATTTTTTATACAATTTTTTAATGCAAGGCAGTTGGAACTGCTGGTACTTGGGTACTTTATTAGGCACATTGTATTCTTCTTCAATTCTTCTTTAACCACTTGCTGTCCGACCGCTGTATATAAACGGCTGGACGGTGGCAGTCCATAGGGGGTTGCAGTTCATAAATGGCGCCCGCCATTGTGGACTGTGCACGCTCCCTGGGAGCGCACAGCACCGTGATCCAGTGCCGCTGTGTCCTCCGGACACAGTGGAACACCGATCGTTGTACAGGACCTCTGTGCGAGGTCCAGATCATGTGATCACTGATTGGCCAATCAGTGATCACATGCAGAATAGTAAGCAAGATGTCACTTCTGACATCATTGCTTACTACGTTTGAAATCTGTGAATGATCACAGAGGTCACATGGTACAAGGTTATTCACAACAGCTTTGTACCAAGTGACAAGCTTTGACCAATCACAGCTCACACGGTAGTTCTCAATGGCTGCAAGAATGCAGCCAGAGAGAAGGAGAAATGATTGCTTTTACAGCCTTTATGGGTGTAAAAGCAATCAGTGTAAAGAAAAAAAAATCTTCATCACCCCCCACAAGTAGTACAGTGTCACCATGGTGACACTGTTCTGATAGGGTGAAAATATGTAGAAAAAACCTCAAATAATAATATAAAAAAAAAATGTAAAAAGATTTTTTTTCAATTATACTTTTTGGTTATAAGCTAATTTGGGTTATTGGTTTTTTTTTACTAAAAAGATAACTGAATAAATTTTGGCCAAGATTTGTGATGAAATATTATTTATTTGCAAAAAGAAAAACACTTTTTTTTCAAAATTTTTGGACTTTTTCATTTATATAGCAAAAAAATGTGGTGAATAAATACCATCAAACTAAAGCTTTATCTGTCTCAAAAAATTCATATGGGTACAGTGTTGCATGACCGCCCCCGCAATTGTCATTCAAAGTGTGATAGCGCTGAAAGCTGAAAATTGGCCTGGACAGGAAGGGGGTAATAGTATCGGACTGGAAGTGGTTAATTTAGAACTGGTGGGCAGAGGTGGGTGGCACTGCTGGGCACTGATGGGCACAGGTGGGTGGGCACTGCTGGGCACTTGTGGGCAACACTGCTTGGCACAGGTGGGCAGTGCTGGTGGGTGGCACTGCTGGGCACTGATCCTCAGTGCCCTGATGATTGGTGCCGATCCATGCTCTGACAATTGCCGGTTATCGCAGTACTTTCCTCACGCTGTGACAGCGTGAGGAAAGTGCAGCTGATAACTGGCAACTGCTTTTACCCAGGGATCTGCTGTCATTGGACACAGCTGATCACGTGGTAAAAGGCTGCTGTAATTGGCCTATTACCACATCACATGACCATCATCACAGAGATCGCCGGAGGCGCACCCCCCAGGGGGGCGTGTGGGAGGTCGCGCCCCCAGGGGGTGTGTGGGAGGGCGCACCCCCAGGGGTCACGTGGGAGGGCGTGTTCTGGGAGGACATCATATCACGCCCTCTCAGAACTGGACAACCTCGCTTTAGCCGTCATTCGGCTATAGCGCGGTTGGCAAGTGGTTAATAGCGAAAAGTCAAAATATTGTTTTTTTCTCAAAATTGTTGGTCTTTTTTTGTTTACTGCAAAAAAAATTAAAAATGCGGAAGCAATCAAAGACCACTGTAAGAAAGCTCCATTTGTGGGGAAAAAAAGGGCATAAATTTAATTTGGGTGCAGTGTTGCATGACCATGCAATTGTCAGTAAAAGTAATGCATGCACTGTATCGCAATAAATGGCCTTGTCAGGAAGGGGGGTAAATCCTCTGCAGGGCGGATTACTTTGACGCAGTTGGCTGGCTAAAACATGTATTGCAATATGTGTGAACTAAATATCCCTGTGTTATATTGCAAAGTTTGCTGGAAGGGTATATAGCAGTGTGCAGAGGGTTTCTTCAGGATTTCTAGTTCTGATAAACAGACTATGGGTATCACAGGCACACCATGCACCAACACAGCATCCTTTAACTCCAAGCAAGAAAGACTGAGACACAAACTAACTATGCCAGAAGACATACAGTATGCTTCTGTGCTTGGCGTGACCAGATTACAGCCAGGAAGAAAGGGGACTGGCTGGATCACCAGTATGCTGTTACACAGTTAATATTTATGTTAATGTACATGAGAATTTCATATAGTTTATTCTTTGTACCATTTCCTATGGACATTTCTATAGTTAGTTATATGCTGCCATCCAGTGGCCTTATTTGTTTTTCATATTACCTCCCATGAGATCTATGACACAATTCCTGTGCATATGAAGCTCCTCCCTTCTTCTTGAGTTCAGCACTTCCTGTGTCATGGAGGGCAGCTAACAGACCACATGTAAACAGGGACACATGTATTCTGCATAGTACGCTACAGAAAGTATCATCTTTTGACCGCATAATACTGGAAACCATTCATTCTGCTGTATCCTGTTTCACATGTACAGAATAAAGCAACTTCTGGATGAACACAGTATTGGTGAGTTCAAGCTATCTGATAAGGATTGTCCCCAGTGATTATATCTGCTTATACAGGCTAGGCAGAGAGGTCTCACAAGGGATAAATCGCTATCACAACAATCTGAGTCAGAATAGTCAAAAGATGCATAGAATCCCTACAGCCTGCTGTATATATGTGTGTGCCTAATCTGCAATCAAGCTCAGTGCCATCCGCCATCTTGCAAAGCACATGGTCGCACAAGCTTACTGCACTTCATGTGGAATGTTGAAAACTGTTTCTCTGCATTGAACTGTGTTACCCCCACCTGTCTAAGCTGCTGTTCGTCTCTTCTTAAAGAGACAATACCAATTTTTGCAGAACAGTAAAAAAATGTCTAGACAAGGCTCTGAACATTCCTTTATTGCCGAACCAACGCAGATACATCATTCCTCTGAACCAGCAGACGTACAGGGAGCAGATTCTGCAGACATTCCCGAACAGAGCGTAAAACCCAAACATACAATAAAAACCGACACAGAAACTCAGGGAAAACTATGAAGCCACTAGAGATAAGTTCTCCAGTAATCTGTCAGACCTCTGGGACCGAACTTCACAATGCATATCAGTTTTGTCACACTTTAATGATCAACCAGCTGAGTTAAGAGACTCTATAAATCGCCTATCTGCTGCGTATGACCGCTACCAGCGGCTGTCTGTAAAATACTCAGCTTTCTTGCAGGACTCTAATATAGAGGATTCTTCAGCAGAACTGACCAGGACTGATGCACTAAACCAACAAAAAGGGATCTTGCAGTGCAAAAATGCTAAGTTTAAAGCAGAACTCCGCATTACTCAACTCAGGAGACCAGATCTCACAGATCCACCTCAACCAAGCGCACTGCACTTTCTTCTAGATCCTCTCGCTCCAGAAGTTCGACGTTAAGCGATAAGCTAATAGAGGCCCGCGCGCTGATGCTGAATCAAAAAAGGCACAAAGCTTTTTTACACCAAAAGCAAGCAGAGATGGAAGCTAAAAGCAAAGCTCAGCAAGCAGAGATGGAAGCTAAAAGCAAAGCTCAGCAAGCAGAGATGGAAGCGAAAAGCAAAGCTCAACAAGCAGAGGCCGATTCCCAAATAAAGATTCTGCAGATGGAAGGGGAGGAAGCAGCTTCCCTAGCAAGGCTGAAAGTCCTTGAACAAGCAATGGGACAAAGTACTAATTCAGACTGCCTTATCCCAGCAGAACTGGAAGATCCAGTTGAACGCACCAGTGAATACATATTAAAGCATAACATTTGCGAAGATACAGAGTCATCTCCTGTACCTCCTACTAACAACACTGTTCTGACTCTCAACACAGAGACCTCTCAGCTCCATATGCCTAAGCCTCTTCAAATCTACAACACAAGTACATCTATGCAGCAAACCACATCAACTCCTGCCAACAACAAGGTGACTTCCAGTGACAAGTCGCAGCTCAAGCCACAGCCAGCACAAGCCTTAGAGACTACACCACAGTTAAACGCTCATGCAACATCATTTTACCCTGGTAAACCTCACCCTACATCACCAGAGAACTTTCACACCCAAGGGGTTCCACAAGTTACTTTGGCACCAAAGAGTGAGAGATCAGACTTGAATGACTTTGCCAGATATATGATTCGCCGTGAGCTCATTAACACCAGACTCTCAAGGTTTGACGACTGTCCAGAGAGCTACACGGGCCTGGAGATCAACCTTCAAGGCTGCTATTGCTGATCTCAACCTTACTACTAAGGAAGAACTTGATTTGCTCATAAAGTGGCTGGGACCAGAATCTGCTGATCGTGTTAAAAGACTGAGAACAGTACATGTTGACCACCCAGATGCAGGTTTGTTGCTGCATGGGCAAGACTTGAGCAAGCCTATGGTAGCTCTGAAGCCATAGAGAGTGCTCTATTCAAGAGACTGCAAAACTTCCCAAAAATAGGAAACAAAGACTATCGCA